CCCGTTTAAGTGTTTCGAGCGACCATGGAACAGAGTTCAAACAGTGTAGTAGCCAATTGTAACAGTGCCGTCTGCACCCTCCCACGTCCTCCGGATAGTCATCCCTCATTCCTCCCGTTCTGTGAAAGGCTCAGCACTGAAAGAGCGGAGACGTCCAGCGTGGGCATAATATTCTCGCTGTAATCCCCCCTACCCCTATCCAACTACGTTGGCGTTGTTATAGTAAACGGGAAGAAAGGAACAGTGGAGAGACTAGAGTATACTGCACCCATCCTTTGCTCGTCTGCAGTTTTCACTGCGTTAGCTCTGAGGGCAGTTAACACGATTGCTGGAGGCGGACGGTTGTTGCCAGCTTCACTTGTGAAGGTGCTGAGGGAGGGCGTTCGGCGACTGCACAACACTTTGTAGGGGTGTGGTCAACTCCCTCCCACCAACGAAGCTAACAATAACGGCCGACCTCCAGCAGTCGTGCTCACTGCCTTCAAAACAAGCATACTCCGTCTATCCTAGTACTTGCCATGTGTGCAGCGCAATTCATTGGCAGTCGCAGTGGCGTGCCACTTTCTCAGGTCAAAAGTGCGCGGAAACGGGCTGGAGGGCAGTGGTACCCGAGTTCACGCATGTGCTGCACATTGATGATAGCGCGGCGGATCATGAAGGCGGCACCCAGGTATACCTACCCTCCTGCCCCGTTCCTGTACTGTTTTGAGCAGAGAAAGCTGCACGTTACTGCAGCTGATGGCCCATTCACGTCGAGCATGGAAAGGACCGTCGTAGAAGGTGAGCATACAGTTGTCTTCAAGCGAGGTGAGGCAGGCAGAAGATATGATCTATTCTTGCTCTCCAAACTCTACCACTGTACAAGTACAGTTGCTATTGAGAGAAAAAAAATGGGCGCTAAAGTAGTTAGGGGCAGCTTGGAATGAGAATGACTTACCTCCTTTCGACCTGTTCTTCTGCCCGTCTGAATGAGCCAGTGTTCGCCCAGTGGCATTGTCACGTCTGCCTTAGCCTTCGGATGACAGTCGAGCAGAATACAAGATCTTCTCTTGCCATCTCCCCCACCAACTATCTTATGCCGAAGAATGCTGCTGGATCACACGGGGGTTGGGATGTACTTTTGTGGTGGGAAAAACCTCGTTACGTCTCAGGATACTTGTCAACAGCGAGCCTCCCTCCTCCTTCCTTTTTTCTTCCTCCTTCCTTCTTTTCCTTCTCTCCTTCTCTCTTCCCTCCTCTTTTTCCTTCTCCCTTCAACTGCTGGACCAGTAGATGGGATGGAAAAATACCTCTGGCCCCTCGTAGCGAGAACATGTTATTGCAGTCTGCAGTACGCAGGCTGACCGCAACGCAGCCGCGCGCTGAATTTTTGTACTTCGAGTCATTCGACTACAGTAACCCGTTCATCGCCCCGAAAGACATGGTTCTTGTTTAAAAGCCCTCACTTCAGGTTTACGACCTCCTACAGCAATACTGCGTACGAATGGTACTGGCATTCCAAGACTTTCACGTCCATCTTCGCCAGCTAAATGATTGTAAAATCAGGTTCCTTAAGTACTTTCCTTTATAAATTAATTAATTAATAATTGTTATGAAGAAGTTGTATTAGAAGTCATTCCACATTCCGGTATCCTATAATTTGCACGTGTATTGCACAATCTATGAACTCACTACCGTAAATTCCTTCATAATGATTTCGTCCATTCATTTCAAGATTGTTGCCATTGAATGACGAGGTGTTGGTATCGCATTTTTTTCCCGCTATCGTAAAAGTTTCGTTGAAAGTTTCATTGTTATCTGATTTTGTCGCGAAAAAGCCAACACCAAAATCATATTTCAGTTGCCTTTGAAGTATATATCCTTTCTTGTCGAACAGATTCGCTGTAATAAATTTGCATCTTCATTTTATCCATGAGGGTCCATAAGTACAATTAGAGTAAAAGTATCTACAGGCGCATTCCACGCCCGCGATTCTGGGATTATGACTGGAGTTTGGAACCTCGAAATCAAGTACTATGAAGAGTCAAAAAAGATGATGACAAACGCAGTCCAGTACTATAGCTGAGTCGTGTGATTGTACATCACGGTAAAGCATCCGTTGAGGAGTCCTCAGCAACGGGAGGGGGGGCGTATTACTAGAAATCGGTAGTCAACTGAGCTGGGACAAGGTGTATGTGGGTAAGGGTTAAAAGCGCAACTGAAGCAGCTTCTCTAAAGAAGTGTACGCCATCGCGAAATGTTTCCACATGCCCCTAGCAGGAAGTGTGTCGTCAGACTAAGAAAGCTGTTTCATGGACTAACATGACTGGGTGGCACTAGGAATGTGAAGGAGGTCGTGTGGGTGGCGCGCCCCATGGACTAGCCTAGCAACACCTCTGTCTATCGGTTGGCATTAATTACAGGTAGAAATCCGACGGTTTTGGAAGAGGCGTGAGGAATGAAATAGAGCTAGTTACTCTTACAGCTTGAAAAGCTGCTCTCTCAACTTGTAGCAGCATTTCCCTCGAGGTATTTGGGGTGTAGCAGAATCCCATTGCAGACGAGAAAGCGCCACATCAGCCGTTTCCAATGTTTCTTGAACTGCTTCACAAAAGTTATGTGTGAACGAAGTTAAGCCGTCCTGAGAATGTCAAACTGCGCGCAAAGGGTAGTTCCCTCGTCAGTGGGGAAAATCCTCAACAGCGGATTTTTCCCAAATAATCGACACTTCGGAAGTTTTTGACATGGTTAAAAAGAGAAAATCTCCTCTCCAGTGCTGGGTCTTGTTTTGTCCTCGTTCCCAACTACCCAAGTTATGGTCTCAGAAAGCTTGATGACTCGCGTTTTACAGGATTTTCATCCATATTTTTCAGACGAAGCCATAACACCCCCTTTTTTTTTTCTTGTGACCACTGTAGTACTATCTGTTGGGATCCCCCGGTGATTATGAAGCTGTCATAGACACAGGTATGGCTAAAATGTTGTTCTGAGTAAGCTAACAACACATCTAATCACTGGTACAGGTGCGTGGTTTTCAGCGAATGAAATAGAGCGGCTGCAACGCCAAAACTAGTGAGCACAGTTGAAACAGAGCGCATACAAGACAACGTCGTTCTGAGTAGCCACTTTAGCAGTGGTCGGTCGTTTGTACATGCACCCTTCTAGTAGATGGAGGGCGGCGGGGCACGATAGGACGCGGCAAGTTTACCTCAACGCGAGCTGGGACCCCTATACACATCCTCAGAATCAGATGTATGGCAATTCTCGCGAAGGAGACATGAACTATGAGCGTTACTCACTTTCATACGTGAAACAGAGGCCAAAATGGAATATCCAGGATATGTAGCTGTGATACCATGATAGGAAGTTTTGGTCTAGATAGGAGGAAAACAACCGATTGAATTGCAACATGTCAGGGGGTTCACTATTCACATCATACTCGTCACATGAAAACTGCCATTCCAGAACTCGCACAAGGCTGAGAGGAAGTAATCGTCAGTCAACTCTATGGGAACACGCTTGGAGCCACCGCCGGGAGCTGCGGGCGTGTCTCATGATAAAATGCCGAAATTGCTGGCCGCTGGGTGAGACAAAATTAAGTTCTTGACATCTCATAGGCAGAGATGGCCAGTGCAATGGGGAGTTGGCCCCGCTTCATGCACGGCAAAAGTACGCCAGGGGTGTGTGTCGTCGATCTCGCCGACTGGCTCTAATTTATCGGTTAAGGCTGCGTTTATAGTTTGCGACTCGGCGTTCTAGAAGACTCAGCGTTTCTTGAAATGCGTCCCAAGCGAAAAGGAAGGTAGGTATCGACTGGCGCCCAAAATGCCGATTCGCATAAAAAGCCGATTCTCCTAAGAAGTCGAAACGCTGATTCTCCCAAACGCCGAGTCACAAATATGAACACAGCCTTATGAAGCGTTCACACTTCCGCCCCGATAGCGCTCGATTTCGTGCCTGTGGGCTGCGAGCAATCTGAAGACCCCAGCAGTCGTGGTTACACGCGGACTGCTAGATTCGGCACTATGCCAAGGCCATTGCGTGCGGCACGCGGGGAATGTTTAATATTATCCGCACAATCGCTGGTAACGCGCGCGGGGCGTGATGCGCTTATGCAGTGTTTACACTTCGCGATAACGCGCTTCGATTGAAACAGCGTTCAATGCTAAACATGCGAATGCACAACGGGAATCGAACGGCGCCTACCGCTCCGCTTGTGTTTTGGGAGGGTCTGGGAGAATAGGAGGGTAATCACGCAGTATGGTATCGAACACCGCCGCCGCTGGTGCTTTGGAAGTGTATTGGGGAATAAAAGAGTACAAGAATGCACCCACCCACAAGACCATAGGCAAAAAAAGCCATTTCAACAAATATGGCGCTTTTTGATTGTTCCTGGCCACATATTATTTGCCCAAATTTCTTCCGAAACACTGCAATTCGCTGATGTTTTAGACAGCGCGAAGACTACCCTGCGGACTTTCTGGACACTGTCGACAGAATCGGTACCATATGTGAATGTCTAGACAGATTGGAAAGTCTTTGGCAACTTTTCAAAAAGGTGAGTACTTCGATGTAGGGTTCGCACCACGAGCTAAATGTGGAGGACAATGAATTCTGATGAAGTGGCACAAATCTTCTAAGCTTTATACACTGCACACAACTTCGAGCACCTGACAACTTCAACGCTTTGCCCCACCTAACGTGCTCTTGATGGTATAGAGCGCGCGTCAGTTTTATGAAAGGACCTAGCAAGCAGGAAAGTAGATTGTGTGGGGCAGAGAGTTAGCGTCTGCGCGCAAACGCGCACAGAATTCTAGCTGAGCGCAACGCGTTTGTTCCGATAACGACGCAGGCTGCGGTCAATCTTCCCTCGCCCCAACACCGCATCTTTAACTCGTTTCCTAGTGCACTGGGCAACGCGGTTAGTTTGGCTAGCTCGCTGTGTTTACAATGCGAGACGCACCTCCGTCAGCTTGACTATCAAAAGTCACTTGCGGGGACAACCACCAAGAGACTAAGAACAAGGACAGCACTGGGTGGGCAGGGGCAGGAAAGAAAAAGGACGAGGGGCAGGGACGTTTTCTGTAGAAAGACCTCAGTGTAAGACTACGGTCAGATTTCGCGATGACGCGCGTGGTCGCGTACCGTTGCAATCGCGCTCCATTGCCAGAGACGGAAACACAGCCATCGAAAGGTTTCGATCGGCGCCAGTCACCAATTTTTGAGAGAGTGTAGGACAATAGGAAGTGCCAGGCAGTGCGATAAGGCGTCATAAGGTAGACAGTGTTGCAGGGCGGTTGCGAAACTGGACGCTGTTTTATAAAGGTTCGTCACCTTTAGTACTCTCCTATTCTCCTACTCTCCCGAAACACTCGACCGACACTTATCTATGGCATGTTTCAGCCTAGTAGTGAAGCGCGATTGCGATGGTAGCGTGATAACGCCTGACACGGCGCGTTGTAGCGCGACAACGCGCGTCGTGGCGCGCCAACGCGCGTCATTGCCAAGTCTGAACCCAGCCTGATGGCTGGGTTTATTCAGGCAAAATTTGATGAGATGAACCTTGGATTTTCAAGGACGGCATGACAAAGCAGACACAGTGGGCAAGAGCTGGTGAAGCATTCAAGCAATATGGTGACGAAACTATAACGCCAGCAGTGGGAGAAATTTTTCAAAGGGCAGCAAAGAAGTTCAATCAGATTAGTGCACTATACCAACATATTATCGAAGTAATGGAGAGTCAGTTCCGTAATCCACTGCATGAATTCAATCAAAAGGAGGTAAAAGCACTCAAAGAAAGTTTGAAGAAACTCGATCAAAGCAAGAAAATACAAAAGAACTCGAAAACTAAACTCGATCGTAAACCTAACGATATGGAGTTGAAAATTGCTTCGGAAGTGGCTCAGAAAGTTCATGAAGAGTATGTTTAAAAAGCATTTTGCTTAGAATTTTGCCATGGTTCACAGCTGAGACAAATGGGATTCTCCTTGGAGGCTTTTAGAGGGTCATGACGTGGATATGTTGTCGAGCACACACTATTTTCCAAGCTCTATCGAAATAGCAATAGCAAGGGGCCTCGTTCGTGGCAGGACCAGGAAGCTCGCCCGATCAGCAACCCATATCACTGGGTCAAGCGGCAAGAAGAGACTACATAAAAAATGAGCAGCGAACCGCTCGAGTGCTTGAGAACTTCCTCGTCCGTCCATAAAGACACACTCCATCCGTAGAAATTCCTTCCTTGTCGGCGTAGTTTTTGGCTCAGTCTCAGAGGTTGTCCACTTTCGCGTTTCCACAGTGCGCTGAGATATCATCACGGGAGGTACCCCGCCGTCCGAAATGCCTCACCCAACTAGGGACCAGATATGGCAATGGTCCTGGATATGTAAATATTCATGTAATTAAAAATTCCAATTGACTTGAAGCCGGTATCCGGTACGTCCTCGTCGGCTATATCTATGTAGGCTCGGCAGCAACCATGGATGGAGGAGATTCTGTAGCCATGATTTTTTTCAGGCAATTCAAACTGACGAAAGAATCAGTGTTAAAATTTCTGGAGTCCACATCATTCTTTGAGAAGATCGTTGCGGCTTTCATAGCTGCAGATAAAGAGCTCAGTGATAAAGCGCATCAAGAGATTTTGAAGATCATTTATACGTATTAAATCTATTAAATATTTATCAGTTAGTGGTATGGTTGCTCTTGCAACAGCTAATGTATGTAGATTTTGTAGCCCAAACTATGAGAGAAGTACCTCATTACCTCTATGAATGAGATAGCGCGTGAAGGGGCGTGGATTGGAGCGAAGCCAGAGCGTCCGATTCCACCAATCAGGCCTCCCTGAGCCTGGAACAGTTGGTAGAAAACGCTGCTCTGGCTGCGGTACACTCCACTTAGGCATAACGACTGCGGAAGGAGCAGAATCCGGCCCATGTCGCACTTCTGTTGCTGACACGCCCTCCCGCAACGGTCTCCGGAAAGAAGGGACCTACCAATGTTGAAGCCGCAGCAGTGGCCCCCAACTATGCCGATGTGAGGAGCAGAAATGTCCTGTTCAAATCATTACGTCATCTATCGATGGTGAAGCATTGGTCAGGGGTAAGGAGTAGCGGGAGCCACGCCACATAATCGCGAAGTGGAAAGCTTTTACTGAAGGCGTCCCCCTCTCATTCGCAGTTTCACCATACACATAATGGAGGGCGTGGACTCCCGAAAAACAGCCAGGACTAGCAGGCATAGTTCCTTCCCCAAAAAAGGTGGAGTACAAAATGGGGCGAGAAACCTTTACAAAAATGAGCAGTTGCGAAATCAGCGACTGCTGCGTATACCCGGCCGATTCGCTTCTTTAAACATATTTCTCTACCTTTAGGCTCTAGCAGCAGCAGCAGTCGCCTTTCCTCTTGCACCTACGTCATTACGAACTCTCCTTTTTACCATCAGATATGAACAGTATTATGCCCTTCGTGATTTCATGCACGCTGCGTAATCTGAAGGCGTGTGTAGCGGTTTTGAATACAAAATAGTTTAGGCTATACACACTTATTATATTAAGATCAAAGGGAAGAGTGGAAGGGAGATTGGACTTTAGTATAGGCATCTGTTGAGGGTAGACCGTCACATCGTGAGTACTCACTACCACTGTCCTGTCGTCTCGTCTTCCAGTTGCCTTGCGCCAGCTTCCTGCGATACCGTAATCTCGGGCCACGCCCATCCAGGTCGTGGACCCGCCACGTGAAACAGGAGAAATCTGAGGTCATATTCTGAGACATTCTTCCCAGCAACCTAATAATTCTAGCCAATCCGCCTACTTTCCAGCGGCTATAGTAAGACGATGTTGCAGTGTGCTGCGGTCAAAACCCACCAGATCATAAGGCTTCCATCGTTGTGAGTTGAGAAAGATGCAGTTGGTAAGTGGCAGGTGGCGCCATTGTGGCTGGGAGGGGTGGGGAACGAATGCAGTATCGTCTCTCACGCGAACCAGCCAAGCTTTCCACCCCACGAGCCGGCTATTTTGGAATTCTCTAAGACCCAACTGGCTTGTACCTCAGCCAGCCCCTGCAGAAATCCGTGGCAAGGGGACGGTCAAGGCAATCGTAATTTGCCGCTACATCGCGCAGCGATGGGATAAGCGCGAGATTTCCCAGTTTGCACTAGCCTGTCAATCGGAGCACCGGATTCCATGTAGTCTGTGATATCACGGACATTTATAACTGTTTGTGACTATACAGGGGGGGGCAAAAAAAAGTCACTTCGACCGAGTCACATATCAGCAAAGTTTTCGCTGCCCAGACAGAGGACGTGGATACGAGTACCAGGGCGGAAGATACCCAAGATGTTCCTCTATAAGCAGGAGCTGGCTCTCGCCCATCACCTTCATGTACACCAAAATATGAAGTCATCTCCAGTCGCAGCCTGACTGGAGAAGACCTTTGGAATTCATGTCACCTCCAAACAGCTGCGAAACTTCTAGTATGGAGTCACCCATGGATAGCTACCTGGAGACCAGTACTCTCGATCTGGATGACCTCCAACATCGAGCAGCTCCGACAACGTCGCCACGGTCTAGGACATCATCTTCACCACAGTCGCCAAGGCGCGGGTTGATGGTATGGACCGGACGTACCTGGAATGGAAAGACCAATATTTTCTTCGTGGACCCCGGACTGAAGGTGAGCGCTGTGCGGCGGGTTAGCAGTTAGGCAACTCGTGGCAGAATAATCCTCCTCCAGCATGTGGTCGCCATATCTTTTTGAATACTTTGTACTGCTACAAGGGCATTGGGTGCCACCACATGGAATCGAAGGGCATTGGAGAAACTCTCGCCTACTTGGAATGGAAGGGGCTGAGTACCTAAAGAAGATGGAATATCCAAGTAGGTCACCTGACCTGAATCCCCTCAATTACCCGGTTCGGGCGGAGTTCAATAGGGTGGTCTACGGTGGCGGAGAATGCACTAACGCCGCTTGATCTCGGCACACATCAGGCGGTCGCGTCCAGATTCTCTCGATGGCGTCGCCAAAGGGCTGTGGGCACGAGTGGTCATGATGGTGTTATAGTATGCTCTTTAATAATTGGTGAAAGTGTCCGCTAAGGTCAGAATGCCACTACAGCGGCGGCGAATTAGAATTGTCTTGTAATCATACTGCAGCGTACATAACCTATAAATATTGGTCAATCCGTCAAAAGTTCATCCTCTAGTCCTTTTTTTGTCCTATGAGCCCGAAGATCTTGTGCGAAGACATTGCCCGTTGTAAAGAAAATCGGTGCAGATAGCAGGTGTGTTTTGTCATGCACGGTAAGGCAATTCAAATGCGTCCGCGATTTTTGGAATGCGAGAATTCACGCGAATGGCGCGACAAACGACATTGGTGTTGTCGAGTATATTTGTAACATGTGCAAAGACTTGCTTGATGTTTATTATAAGCATTAAACGTTGAAATGCTATCCCTTAAAAATGTCGTCTTTAACATCAGCCAGTGTTTCATATTGCGGATCTTTTGCGTCAACTTTTTGTACCTAAATTCATAAGATCACTTACTACGCATCTATAAGTGTAGCTTTTCGACAGTAAAGGAGAAGAGATTTCGACATCAAGATGTTGTTTACCCGACAACATCCAGTGAGGACGTCTAGATTTCGTAACGTCCTCACGTGATTGATCGGATCAATATCACGAGGTCATGGGAGGACATCGATGTTTACGATGTCCTCACATGGGTCTCCAGTCCAGGTTTTACTGCGTCAACGAGTGGCGGCTCCCAAATACCCCTCTTGGTTATTCTGGTGAACTAGACGAGTTGACTTGACGGATTCTCAATCTATTCATTATTTTCAGATAAAGGACATCTACTATATCCTACCGTTGTATTTTCTACATTAGATCTGCTGGGTATTCAACGCCTACGTTTCTTTTTGGTGCCTAGTTGGCAAGCAAAGCATAAATAAAGGGTACAGGTCAGAATTTTGTTTCAAGGATTCAAAGTTGACATGTTATTCTCTCGAGATTCTCAGAACATTACGAGATTGTAGGACTCTTCGTCTTCTTTATTCATATCCATATCTTCACGACATCGTGGCGTACCCGCTCCACGATTTGACTTTCTTCGGCTTTCTTGGCCCATTGATTTAGCAAGGTTTCTTTATCCATTGTTTGGTCAGTAGCGATCAAATGCGTCTCAGTTTGTGTTAGCACACATTTGGCAATTTGACGCGATACCATTTGGATTACGCCGGTTTCCGTACCAATTCAACGCAAATTCGGATTATAGTTGGAATCTCAGAACTGTTGTGTTTATATTATTTATACTGCTCTTTATCTAGCATCATTTTCTCATTACTCAGATCTCATGGATGGATTAGAACCCATGGATGTGGACCATCAGGCACAGTCCAGAGCACCTCGCCTTTTGGGAGATACTGATATCGCAGCAATAATTGCAGCTATAAGGGAGGACCAACCAGGATCGTCTGCATCAGCGCAGACACCCGCTTCGAATCCTTCGTTTGTGCGCAAAGGATATGCGTCGCAATTCGAGTTCAACGACTCAGTCATGAAGAATCTGACAAAAATCAACAAGAATGGACTGAGAAGGGAAGACGAGGATCTACTCCAAGCGGCAATAGAGCTAATTAAGGTGAGGAACGAGACGCTGAAGATAGCTGATAAACATCCAGGTGTTTTCTCTTTCCTGGACAGTAAGAAACAGGCGGAAGCTGTCAAATCTTCAGACCCGTTCCTCTCAGAGTTTCTGGAACAAGTTCATAAGGAAGAAAAAGCAACAAAGAAGAAAAGACCATCTCTTCCCGAATCGTCGTCCCAGCCCTTTCGAGGGCGGGAATCGGCTTGGCGCCCCGACTCCCGATTTTTCAGCTACAACCAAAGTTCAGATCTTATCCTCGTTTGGAACGACAGAGATATGGAAATAGCTTCACGCCTCGCGAACCTTACCAGAAATACCGCAAAGACAGACAGGAAAGACCAAGGAGTCTTTGTTTCTTGTGCGGGCACGAGGGACATTGGAGAGATGAGTGTCCAAGAAGGAAGTAGTGAGTTTTATTCAGGCTCTATTCATGATCACATCTCTATGTGGACGGCTCTCGAGCTGAATACGTTTTCTCCGATACCATAGCGCAATGGTTACACGATTGCCCATTGGATAGAGGCTCGCGCGAGCCTCACTAGAGTTAGCGAATGCGGTCTGCTGTAAAGTACAAAGAGTTTGTTGAGGTTACAATTGCAGAGCTTGTGGCAAATGGTGCAGTAAAAGAGGTCGCACATTCTCAACGTTCCGACATATTCGTACATCCACTCAGCGTAGCAGAAGGTAAGAAGTTGAGACTTGTACTGGATCTCAGCTATCTTAACAAGTATGTTACGACCGAACATATCAAGTTCGATGACGTTAGTAAGATCCAGCATTTGTTACCGCATAAAGGTTTCATGACAACCTTCGATTTGAAAAGCGGATACCACCACATCCGTATTTCTGAAACGAGCCAGAAGTTTTTGGGCTTTAGTTGGGGTGAAAAATTATATGTATTCGCAGCTCTTCCCTTTGGTTTATCATCGGCTCCTCATATATTTACAAAGATGTTGCGACCTCTCATTAGAAAATGGAGAGGAGAGGGTAAAGGAGTAGCAGTATACCTAGACGATGGCATCATCTGGGCTCCTTCCAGGAATGAGTGCGACAAGATCTCGCAAGATATCAGAAGGGACCTCAAGGACTTTGGATGGTTCGAAGCCAAAGAAAAATCGGAGTGGAGACCAAGTACGAAAGCTAAATGGTTAGGTTTCGAAATAGACTTAGATTGTTTCGAGATCTCGATCTCTTCAGATAGAATTGAAAGAGCTGAAAGAATTCTTTGGCGCATGTTGCGAGAAAAAGCTCCCTCTTTGCATACCAGAATGAGATGGGAGGGATCCTTGGCATCCATGAGCTTAGTTATTTCAGACAAAGACAAAAGACGATCCAGAGCCATAACAACGGCAGTAGCAGAAGCACAATCTAGTGAGTTTTCGCTAAGTTACAGATGGTCATTATCCACCAGAGAGAAGCGAGACATATATTTCTGGATAGAGCGGTTAAAAAATGGAATGTCTATTTCAATGTTCCCGCCAGATAGTCCCCCGCTATATGACTTTATTATTGAAGTAGACGCGTCAGCACATTCCGTGGGAGCGGTGCTGAGAGGAGAGAGTAATATAAAAGCACATAATGCGCTACCGGATTCCTTGCTCTCGGCATCCAGCACCAGTAGAGAACTTTGGGCCATTCAGTTTGGCCTCCTTACGTTTGGTCCCGTGTTGACAGGCAATGTATTAGTGAGAACGGACAACCAGGCAGCTTGTCGGATTTATAGAGTAGGAAGTACCTTAGAGAACCTCCAGAAACAGGCAGAAGGTATCTGGAGTCTAGAAAAATCACTGGGACTTGATCAAGTCGCGGTAGAGTGGATCCCAAGGGGACAGAATCACTTAGCGGACCTCGAAAGCAGAGAAGTTGATTATGACAGTTGGGGAATTAATTCGAGAACAGCACAGACTGTACAGAACGAGCTTCTATCATGCGAAATAGATATGTTTGCAGACAATCTGAATGCCAAGTGTGGAAGATTCTTTTCTAGGTGTTGGTGTCCGTTCACCTCAGGACTTGACGCTTTTCAATCAACGACTGCGTGGTCAGGATATTCCCTTTGGTTAGTTCCTCCGCCGAGTTTAGTTGCTAAGACTTTAGCATGGATGAAACATTTTCGTTCTGTGGGTATATTGGGATGTCCTTTCTGGCCTTCACAAGCGTATTTTCTCTTACTCAAGCCGGATGGAACGAGATGGGCAGATTTTGTTAGAAATGGGAAACTGTTCCCAGTAGGCTCTAAGATCCTACAGCCTTGCGCTCATTCTAATGTATTCAACAGCGAATTTTCGAGAACGAAGTTTGTGTTGCTGGTAGATTTTCGCGAGCTCGCAGTACCGCGTATAAAACTAAATTTCTGACTGTCCACCGGCTTTTAACAGTCCACCTACGCTCTTCTCCTGTGGTCGAAAAGCTATTTATGTCAGAGTGACGTAGGAACGGAGATATAAGTGTAGCTTTTCGACAGTAAAGGAGAAGAGATTTCGACATCAAGATGTTGTTTACCCGACAACATCCAGTGAGGACGTCTAGATTTCGTAACGTCCTCACGTGATTGATCGGATCAATATCACGAGGTCATGGGAGGACATCGATGTTTACGATGTCCTCACATGGGTCTCCAGTCCAGGTTTTACTGCGTCAACGAGTTGACTCCCACCCACCCTACCCGTAGTTATTTCAGGACCACTATGGAAAGAAGCAGGACGACCCTAATGATCGAACAAGCGGTAGAATGCAACCTACCAGATATTGGAGAAGCAATCAGAATCTGTATCAATAGTCACCGATCGAATGCTACGTTCACAGCGTATTCTCATGTGTGCCAGAAATTTATTCACTGGTGGGAAGCACAACACCTCAGAAATGTGCCTATTTCGAAAGCTCGAAACCTTTTCTTGGCGCATTGTATTAACAACAGCCAGCAAATCTCGCTACCAATGATGTCGGCAGCGCTTACCTTCTTTTTCGGAAAACAAAAAGAAGCAGATAAAGAAATGGAGAAGACGCTATTAGAAAGCGCGGCGAGAAGTAGAGCGCCGGTGAAGCATAGAACTAAGATCACTACGGAAGATTACAATGCGATTATTCACCTAGGGGCGATATCCAAAGATCCCAAAGCGTTTTCGACAGCGGCGCTATACTTCTCTTTAGAGGTCTTATGAGATTCAGTGAAGCTCGTAACTTGCAGAAAAACGAACTCGCACATACCGACAATGTGTATTCTATATTCATAGGAAAATCCAAAACGGACCAAACTCGACGCGGAGCTACGGTGTCTTTCAAGATGGTGCGCGATTCAGAAGAGCACGCTGTTTTAGATAAGCATATTAGATACACAGAGGGAATCATGAGTAACTACTTGTTCGCTTCTCAGTCCACTAAATTACCTTTAAGCGCTTCCACTATCTCAAAAAGGTTACAGCAGTTATTCTTGATTGCAGGCATTAGTCATAAAAACTATACCACGCATAGTTTTAGAGGGGGTGCAGCATCTACGGCCTTAGAGCAGGGATTTGATAGTTCTCAGGTTATGCAGATGGGAAGATGGAAGTCCAATAAAGCTTTTCAGGCCTACGTTCGTCCTGCCATAATCGATCTGAATCTATCTTAATCACCTTATGCAGTACTGTAACAGTGCATGTGGTAAAATCATACTATTGATTAACCGCATGTTATCCCACAGTCACGTCCATTATTAATCACCATATGTTAGCGATTACCATTCATGGCACT